TCCTAGCACTCTGGGAGGCCAAGGTGGGAGGATCACTTGAGGTCAGGCATTCAAGACCAGCCTGAGCAAGAGTGAGATCCCATCTCTACTAAACATAGAACAATTAGCCGAGTGTCGTGGCACAGCCTATAGTCTCAGCTACTTGGGAGGCTGAGGCAGGAGGTTCACTTGAGCCCAGGAGTTTGAGGTTGCAGTGAGCTAAATGATGCCACTGCATTCCACCCAGGGTGACAGAGTGAGACTCTGTTTCAAACAAACAAACAAACAAAGAAACAGTGGGACAGCCCTCTGATGGAAGATGAACATCCGGAGTCTGAGACCATGTTCTGGGGGTAGACTACTGCCTCAGGAACAGGGACAGCAGACTCCTGGCCAGTGAGGACAATAGAGATGCTGGCCGAGACTTGAATCAATACTTGCCACCTGAAGAAATACCTAATGGTTGCTGCCTTTGAAGACCTCAGTGCTCTTAAAGAGTGATTTAGTATTTGTGGCCGAATGTCTGAGTTCTTTAGAACAAGCTTTTGGGCGCTAAAAGCCCAAGAGCATAACAGGTAAATTCATCTTTAAAAGAACTTGGGTCCAGTGTTGCATTCTGGATAAACAAACAAAAAAAAAAAAAAAAGAAAGAAAGAAAGGAAAAAAGGGGGTAGGGGGAAGAAAAGAAAAAAGAGCAGAAAAAAAAGAACTTGGGAAAAGTAGGCTGCATTTGTACTGAAGTTAGAGATTTGGTTCACAGAACAAAAACTGGGTGGCTTAAAACAACAGAAATTTATTGTCTCACAGTTTTGGAGGCTACAAGTCTAAAATCAAGGTGTGGGCAGGGTCATGCTCCCTTTGATAGCCCTGGGGGAGAATCCTTCCTTTCTTCCAGCCTCTAGTGTTCACCAGCAATCCCTGACATCCCTTGGCTTGGAGATACATCATCCCAGGCACATGGCTGTCTTTGCCTTGTGTGTTTTCACATCATCTTCCCTTTGTGTGTATGTGTCTCTATTTCCACCATTTAAAAGATAGCAGTCATATTGAATTAGGGCCCACACTAATGATCTCATTTAAAATTGATTACCTCTGTATAGACCCAATTTCCAAATATGGTCATATTCTGAAGGATTTTGACATACCTTTTGTGGTGGACACAATTCAATCCATAACAGCTTGAACTCATGCAACTTTGGGGGCCCACTATAAGGTTAAGAATATAAATTACAAATGCCTAATTTGGCCTTGGAAGGAGCTTGTGCAAGTAAGAAGCCTCATGGTAAATCCTCTTCTGGTTTACAATATTAGAATAGCTGTTGGCAGGTATCAATGTGACTACAATGAAGTAATATTGCATCCACATTCAACTCATATGAATTTACAAGTATAGGCATGCAAGAGAGAGAGGCTGCTTGTCTTGTTTTGCTATCTGAACCTGAGGCCTGGAGTAGGATGTGAACCCAGATCTCTTGGAGAGAAGCATCTGGCTACAAAAAAACGTGATTCTGTTGTTTAAAGATTGCGGGTTTTTGTACAACAGGGCCCTTAGTACCCCAGTCAATGACTTCAGTTGGTGCTCAAATGAAGAAGGAAACAACAATGGAAAGTAATTGTGAATTTGTCTTCTTTTGTTCAAAACCCTGAGATATGACTGTGGTGTTCTTCCTTGGCTCCAAACTTGACCTAAACATGATCTCCTGAACTTCTCCCGTTTACTGAAGCTGCTACAGTACAGGCAGGAGGTGGAGGTGGTGGGTCGCCAGTATGAGAAAGGGAGCTAGACACAGATGGCACCAGCTTAGTCTCTGCCAGCTAGAAAGGATGAAGAATGATCGAAAAAGCTAATGTTGGCCGGGCGCGGTGGCTCACGCCTGTAATCCTAGCACTCTGGGAGGCTGAGG